TAACTTGCCGGCCTGCCGTACTACGGTAACTCTGGTCCTGCCACGAAACGGAAATTAGAAATGACGGCGCCGATATACGTAACTTTCAAACGCAAGCATTCATTAGCCATATAAGTAACCTAAAAACCTAAAAATTACATAACAAATGTGAAAGTGATGAAGCGAAAGGGTTAAAAAGCTGACATCTTATTCTTTGCTTTTGTTTATGGGTGATTTTATGTTGGCAGACAGAGGCAATTATAGAGGGAAAATTGAATGGGACTTAATCGACAAAATAAGTGTAGCAAAAACTCTGTTCAGATATCCATCATTCATTAATGAAGTATATCTGCCATCAACGGTTCCTTTTTGCCGAGTGTTGTTTCAAAAAGTTTCAAACAAATTATGTTACTGACTGCCAAAAACGGAAATAAACGGAGTAAGCAGACAAAAAAAAATTTTTTAAATATTGGGCTGCAATATTCGTCGCTGACGTAAATATCACAGTTATAGCGGCAGAAAAAGCGGCATTATAATCTTTATAATCTGTGTCTACAGCTTTCTTTTGCCAGTCAACCCCATCTCTAAGCGTCCACTCTGTGTTAGTACCGTCGACTTCAAGTAGATGTCTTTGACACCTCCTCAGTCCATTGATAATGCTGCAGCGAAGGGCCGCCCTCATCAACGTCCTCGAGTGTCCTTGCAGCCGGGACGGAGCCTCATGGACTGGATAAATTTGAGCGCTAAAAATTTACGTTCCTTAGTGTTTCAACGGTCCGTCACCGCTGAAGAACTTTCTAGCCATGATACTGAAAATGATTGTTGGATTTTACTAGGTGATCATGTGTACGATGTCACCAAATATATTCCGTTTCATCCTGGTGGTAATGACGAACTGTTACGTGCGGCTGGTTGTGATGGAACAGCATTGTTCTCTGAAATGCACGCTTGGGTAAACTATGAAGCTTTACTGAAATCGTGTTGTGTTGGGAAATTTACTGGTGATCGCAATAAATTGACAAAACCAAAAGATTATAGCAGCAACGGAAATAATAGCACGAATAAGAATGCTGCAGGAACCAGTACTGATGTTCAGTCATTAGAAGTCGATAAATAATGTAATTATATGAATACTATACATTATTCTAAATATTAGATTCGAAGCATTGCTGTATTAATTTATATACATGGCTGTCGATAGAACTGACTGTTACAGATTGAAATGGCTTATTTCCCATTGGTTTATGGAAATTTGTGCATTATCTGAAGTTTTTTATGTTTATAACCTCGTTCCCATTCAGACTAAAACTATTCAGAGTTCCTCTACAGAGTTACGTCTTTTGATAAAATCACACATGTCATAAGATAAGAATTTTATTCCTCTACAACTGTTGTATACATCGTAAATATAATACGGCATTTGAAATACCTTCAATTTGAAGCTTTCCACTGTTCTTTAAAAATGCATAAATGAAAAAAAACTGCGTTGACAAGTAGGACGCTTTGAATTATCTTCCCCTCGACATGTGCTCTACTAACCTTTTTGACTTTCATCAATCAGTTATTCAGTCAACTTTAGTTACTCTTCTCAGCCTTATCGCCAAAGTCTGCTGCCGTTACGGGTTATTGTGTTAAATGCATTTTTCCTTTCGCAGTTTGAACGCGAAACACAGATTTTTTTTCCCCTGTAATTATTTATCATTTCCAGTAATAAAGAACCCTATAAGTATCACTCTTCTTTGTTCACATTACTAGTGAAAACTTACCAACGAGAAAAAACTCAAAATAAAAGATTCTTGGCAGTAAACAACAATTAATCCAGAGAATTTCCGCTGTTTCCATAGCATTTTAAACTTTACCAATTAAAACACAAGTTCCAAACGAAAATGCAGCTTATGCATAAATCTTTTTCCTACAAACGCAAAGAAAAAAAACTAATGGCTATCATTCTATGTAGGCACCGTCGGAATACCTGTTCTTTTTCGTATTTTTACTTTTGACACTATCAACCTTGTCTTGCGGCTCCCATAACCTTCACATTTAGAGTCACTGAAACTTCTGCGTAATAACAACTGTTGTCTTTCTCGCCTTTTAACTTCAATTAACTTGACTACCAGTTCAATTGTATTATCAGACTCATTCTTGCAAACATTTTTGAGTGAGGTCTTAAAGAGTTAGTTGATTCATTAACCGTAAATTTGATTACTAGGAGAGACGCATCCAAAAATTTTTTCTTAAGCATTTCTGAAAATCAACAGGTACGGAATTAGTTAATAGACTTCAAGGCTGAAAAAGCATGAATTACCCGTGAAAATTTTTCGTTTAGTTTTTGCACTATTACAGCACTACGAACAATGGCGAAGTCGTAATTGAATAACAGCAAAGTTAAAAATAACAAAAAACTTTCGTTTAAAAAAAGGAAAGAAGAAACAGGTTTTTTTTTTTTCAACACTGTAAAAAAAAGTTAAATTGATGTAAAAATTTTTTGCAATGAATTTTTACTTCTCTATATTTCTTTCGGTCTTCATCCGCGCACGATGAAAACTAGATAATTTAAAAAATTGAAAGGAACTGACAGATCTATCTTGTTACCAAAAAATATTAAAAAACTTCCCTATCATTTATAAGATTAAAAGCATAAAAAAGGATGAACTTTACGAGTGCCACACTAAATTATTACAAGAAATAAAAGTCATATTAGCTACATAATCACATATGCTTTTGAAAAAGCTTTGAAAATATTCGTTCTGAATAAATAATGCTATCTTCATCATTCAGTGTGCCTTCTGGACTCAAAATTGTTCCAACTCCAACTTGATTATTTATCATCAAACTAGAAGTAAACGAAAACCATGTATATGAATTCAATATTACTAAAAATTTTACTGGAGATTCTAAGAGTCTCAAAAATTGCGTGATATCGCACACGTTAAACATTATAACAGAATGCTGCAACTTTAGAAAGCAACTATAAAGCTTGTTCCAACCAACTATCATCTTAAGCAGTTATCGCCATCCCTACCTCCTCGAAAGACCGCACAGTCCGTAAAAAAGTTATCGCCTACTTGAAGAATCCTTGAATTATACAGTGTGTCTTGAATATATCTGAATATATACCTTTCTTCAATCGAAACATAGTGAAATTTTTACTTTTTCGCAATATCAAAAGGCTGTGCAGTTCTGTTTAGTGCTATTTGGATTTCTGCGACCTATCCTACGAATAAAAGGTCGTCAGTAAGCTGAATATCCCAAAGTACTGTAATCTAGCGGTCAAAAAATGCTTATTAAATTAGAGCTCAACAACAATCACGATGAAATAATGCAAAACTAAACAAGCAGATTAGGTTTAGTACCGCCTAAGAAACAATCTGAAATGTCGAAAAATAACAAAAATGTGGAGTTCTCTCATTTGTACATTATTTTTTGAACTGTTAACGTGGGTGGATGTTTGCCAATTTTGCTAACGTCGTCGGAGCTCCTTTATCCCAACGCAAATTTAACTGCTGTACTTGTTGTGGTGCACTTCCCGTCAGTTGATATTGGTTTTTTTTTTTTTTTGCTTCTACTGTGTAGTAATTTCTTGGACCAACTCAGTTTGTTTGGGCTCGGTCACTGTTACCGAAATTCACTTGATAAATTGCTATGTGCAGAATATAACGAGTTGGTAGAAGTACCAGTAACGAATCCTGAAAATACGTTGAACTCTGCAGTTCTCTCTATATTTCACGCAGTTCTTATATACCTTCCCACTGGTTTGCTCCTTTGGCATTATCTTCTTTTTTCCGTCTTAAATAAGCTAAGATCTCTGGGTTTTTTAAGAATTGCAGTTTCGATATAAAATCCTTTATACATTTTCTTAGACTCTAATTTACATTGTATATATTACACAATCAAGGTACCAGTTACAGCCTTTAAATTGTTGGTAAATCAAAATTGTTTTGCCCCAGTAAATTACCTGGCTATATTTATTCGTCAATTTGGTAAGCTGTAGTTTAGTTTGAGACAGCAGTGTGCTGACCTAATCATAGAGTTGTTTTGTTAATTCATTTCCTCTTATTACTGTTTAAAAAAGACCAAATTCAATGTTGGTGTTGATGATATTCATGGACAATATTTGGGGGCAGCGAAACCAACAAGTGTTCACGAATTTGTAGTTGATAATTTTTTTACTTTCTGATAAAGGCTTTATTACCTGTTATTTCGCTCTTATCACATTCATTTAGACAAGCAGTTGAACATTTAGAACATTCGAGGGAACTTCTTTCTAACAAGGATTACTGTCTGAAACGGTGGGGCTACTCCCACAAAGGCTCAAAGCTCAACTTTATTGCTTCCCTTCTTTTCTTTTCTAGGTAATCGTTGGATGGGATGACAGAACCGAGAAATAGACATCAAGAAAACGAGGAGAAACCATCAACTTCGGGCATAAAAACTCTATCATTTGCTGAGAAAGACCCGTCCTGGTGGAATATATCAACTTTTTCGCGGGAGGATAATCCGAACGGTGTTGTCTGCGAATCGTCGTTTGCGCAGCTTTTCCCAAAATATCGAGAAAAATATTTAAGGTTAGTTATCGATGAGATTCTATGCTTCTGTACTTATGAAAATCCCTATTTTTTCAATGAATATGCCATCTATCTGCAACTATGCCCCCGCTTTTTTGTGCGTTGTCTCCATTTGCAATAAAACCATCACATCTAACGATTCTTTTTTACATTTTCTAGAGAATGTTGGGAACTGGTACAAAAAATATTGGGAGAACATTTCCTGAAGGCTGATCTGGATGTTTTGGAAGGTACAATGACAGTGAAGACCACAAGGAAGACCTGGGATCCGTTCATAATTTTAAAAGTGTTGTTGTCATTATCTTTCTCTATTTTATTCTAAGCTACTAGTTGTATGACAGAAGTTTACTAAGAATTCTTTGTAGTAATGATTGTCTTTTTAGGCTCGGGATATGTTGAAATTATTAGCTAGAAGTGTTCCTTACGAACAGGCAACTCGTGTCTTGCAAGATGGTGTTGCTTGTGATATAATTAAAACAAGCTCTATGGTTGCAAGTAGAGAAAAATTTGTGAAGCGCAGAGCCAGGTTGGTTGGAAACGAAGGAGCTACTTTGAAAGCCATTGAGCTTCTTACTGGCTGTTATGTTATGATACAAGGCGGCACTGTGGCAGCCGTGGGACCATATGAAGTAATTATTACGCTTAATTTGTCTGTCGATTTGTGTAAATGGCTTTTTTGACGAATATGTAAGACATTAGTTAATTAATTTATTTGGTGTAGTCTCCTGGATCTCAATTTTCAATTGATTATTGGTCTCTGCAGGGTTTAAAGGATGTCCGAATGATTGTTGAAGACTGTATGCGCAATATTCATCCTATTTATAATATCAAAACTCTTATGATAAAGAGAGAATTAATGAAGGATGAAAAACTGAAAAACGAGGATTGGGGACGGTTTTTACCAAAATTTAGGAAGAAGGTCTTTTTTAATTCTCAAAATAATGGCTAGTCTGTGTCCTATAATTTGTCAAATAGATACAAAAGAAAAGCACAACCGGGGCAATTCTCCAGATTTTTAGGTCCAGTCATCACGAGTCACAAATGAAGCAAAAAAGAAGAAAGCAGCTCGTTGGAAACTAAAGGGAGAGTACACGCCGTTTCCACCCCTACCAGCAATGAGCAAGGTTTTGTACAATATAAAAATACTTTTAGGCTTCAATTATGTAAATTTTTTTAAGTCAAAAGTTTTAGATTGACAAACAGCTAGAAACGGGGGAGTTCTTCATGAACGAACGGATGAAGAAATTAGAGAAACGCAAGACAAGACGTGAGCAACAGGTAAACACTTCTTTTTTTTGAACCATCCACTTCTTTTTTTTTATTTTAGCTCATGTAATGGTGCCTTGCATATTTATTTCTTGGTAGTTTCAATTGTCGTGTTTGTTAGATGACACTTCGAGATTTTTAGGTAGAGAAGACTTTGGAGAGGCAGAAGGAGCGTAGTTCTGTATTTGTAGCCCCAGAAGAGAAGCCTCGGTGCAAAAAGAGCGAAAAGGGTGAAGATGAACCGTTGGACATTGAAAATCTGAAGAAAAAGGCAGTGGATTACGAAGAGATATAATTGAGCAAATACTCATATTTATTAATTGTAACTAGTAAAAGTAACAGAAAAATGAAGATTTTATGCTTTCACAACAAGTCCACATCATGCTCTGTTAACTTCTTCGTGACTGTTGTTGTCGCACAAATAGTTTTTGTTTGCTAAAAAAGCTTATTTCATAAACTGCTAGCGGCGAAAACAGAGTTTGATGTCGTGGCTGAAGAACTTTACTGAACTTTCCATGCGTCAGTGTCCGTTTATGGTTATAAAGAACGTTGCGACATTGCCAACAGAGTTTGATATCCAGAAAAAAGCCGCAGAAATGTTGCAGGTTAAAGAGAACTGTTTAGTTTTGGAAGCTCCACTTTTGTGAGATCGTTGGTTTATCAAGATTTAAGAGTGCTCAAATGATCAGGAAGCTGAAGCCACATTTTGTCGGCTTTCCTAAGAGAAGCCCAGAAGTGGTTTGTACAACTGCTTGAGTGAATTTGGAGATGTTTGTAACGCGTCTGACAAATAACAAAACGATGAGATTTGATCAAACCAGGGCTTGGAACTTTTGCTGGAAAGTAATTTGCCCTTCAAGCAAGAGGGGGACTAAAAGAACTCTGAAGATCCAGAAGCTGGTAATTGAAAAGGTAGTAGCAGTGAGTTTATTAATGAAAGGCATGCCGAGAACACTGAAAACCAATTTGAAACACAGCCAGAAGGGCGCCATTCCACTACAAAAGGCTGGTAAGTAGCAGCACTACTTTATGCGGACAGTAAAACATCGAGGAAACCGTTGTGGGATTGAAGATGTGTGTCGCGACGGCACGCGAAATGGTTTCAAGCAGTCAGTAGACTGTAAGGATCCAGACATGGCCATGAGGGGAAGTTCTTGGAGGCTATGGTGGGAAGATCATTACGACAAGACAGGTATAAAAGGGCAAGGCAACAGCGAGAACTCAGTGTCAGTCAGTATCAGTCGATATTGATTCTACAGTTAAGATTTTATCCTCTTCCTCTCATTGTCTTTGTGACAATGTGTTTCTGGTTTTCCTGTTCGTCAAATTGATCAGGACATCATTGGCGTTCAGATTTGTGTCTCGTGTCTTGACAACTGATCTTTCATCACTTGTTGCTGGTCCATTAATATTGAATTTGGCGCGTGTTTTAGTGCTTGAAAGAAACTGTTTTTGTAGAATTTGTTGATGATAAGTATTTGCTCCTTTCGATTCTATGAGTTTTAAAAGAAGGTGATGTTGAGAAATTCACTTTTTAAACCTTTTATTTGTGGTTATATCATTTTCAAGGGGCCATAGCTATATGGAAGAAAGGCAGTTTTGGAAAAAAATCCAAGTGGGGTTAAAAATGCTTAGAGATTTTGATTATGGAGTCCCAATATTAGTAGTACACTGGTTATGAAAACATCTTATAAAAACATATCCTTTACTGTGTAGTTATTGGTTCGTAATTTTGTATGCTGTGGTCGTAAATAAAAAATTCTATTTTTGATTAACATTGTATCCAGATTGGTGATTCTTCGCTGCGTATATCTTTTGTTTTTCAGTGTTTTAAAGACCCTTCCAGTTTTTATAATTTAGCTGATGGAGATCACTGAGGGAACAAGCAGTTTTCCTGATGGATCCGTAACAAAAATCGTGTTCCACAATTTCTTGTAAGTATTTTAGCTTCTTGGAGTAAACAGGGCAATAAACAAACTACTAGTTAGCATATGGAATTATTCTCTACCTTCGATCATTACAGTAATCATCATATTTGTAAGAAATATTAGCACTGGTGTTAATATTAGTTTTTTTGTTGTGATTATCCTTTTCTCGTTTGCAGTTTATTTAAACTTGGTATTTTCAGGACTTTTGACGAACTTGTTTTTTTGCCTGGGCCAAACCTTAATGTTATTATTGGACCGAATGGAAATGGTAATTTCAAAGCATTAGCTTTATTAATTTGCTTCTTAGAAGAATTAGTAATTGAGAGGGGTGTTTTTATCTGACTATCAGTGTGTATGAATATTTTTTAGGAAAGAGTTCAATTATGTGTGGAATATGTCTAGCAGTGGGTGGTGATCCAAAAGTGTTAGGAAGGTCTTCAAAAATTGCTGATTATGTGAAGCACGGCCACACTAGTGGTTTTGTCGAGTTGTTCATGTTAGTTTCACAAGAGGCATTTCTTTTCGTAGAGTATTGGAAATTTTTTCTGCTAGACTTTTAAAATACTTTTATTTGGCTTTTGTTCTAGAGCATAATGACCGTTTTTAAAATTTTTGTTTTTTTTTTTTCAAGAGTAATGAATCATTTTGTAGACGAGATTCGAGAAGGGGTTTCGACGTTTGTACACGGGTGTTTATCAACCGGCAAAAGAATTCAGCTGCGTATTTATTTGATGGCTCGCCTATAACACGCACTGAATTGCGCAAAAGAATCGCTGATTACGACATTCAGGTGATATGTATAAAACTTTTTTGGGAGTTTTGTTTGCTGCTGAGCGCTGAATTTTTTTTCTGAGGGCCTTTGGATTGAAGAACAAGCAGACATGTAGTAAGCATAATCGTTAGCTACAAAAATAGTCAATGGAGGCGTTTTTACTACAAACAGTTTCGTATTTAAATATGAAATTGTAGCTGATGTGATTTCTGTAGTATCTGGAGAAAAAACCTAGGTTTTTGCATTTAGCATATTCCCTGTCACTTTTTTCTTTAAAAATTGTTTCCGCTAAATTCTGACTATTTTTTTACTAATAAAAGTCTTGAAAACGCTTTGTAGGTTCAAGGTTCTTTCTTAGTTTCGGTTTATCCACTGTTAGTTTTTTAACAATTTGAAGAAGTATTTCCTTACGACCTAGCAATACTTTGTAGCGAGAAATTATTGGTTGAAAGGAGGATGTAAAGTTAGAACAAACTGGTCGGAGAAGTTCAAAAGTCTTTAAATTTTTTGCTCAGTCATTCTCAATTTTTTGAAAACAGGAAAATGGCAGTAGCAAAATTGCTAGCATTTACAGCGGACGATAAAATGTGCTTCCTTATAAAGAAAGAATAGGGAACATTGAATGCAAATCGGAATTGTTAGTTAGATTGCTGTCTAGCCGAAGGCAGATGGCTCTGTTAGAATAAGTTGGCCTGTGGAACTCTAGATTTAAACTGGGGTAACTGAAGAAGATAAAAAAAGTAGCGGTGTGTTTGTCAACTTTGAATTATTTTGCATGGCATCTTGCTTGATTTATGAATATAGTATTGGTGAAGGAAGGGAAGAGGAGAATATTTTTGGTACCGAAGCTAGTTACCTTGATGTACAAAAACTTTTAATTATTTTGTTTCACACTTCTGATTTTTTGCGTAATGGTCCTAATGTCCTAAACTCTCTTAAAATAATTTTTCAGATCGATAATCCATGCACTTTTCTTGCCCAAGACAAGGTTCGAAGCTTTGCTGAACAGAACCCAGGTTTATTGCTCAGAAATACGGAAAAGGCTGGTCTAAGTTTGTTTATTATTCCCTAGAGTGAAAATAAAACACGAAGCATTATACACAGTATCTGTTTGTCTAGTTATGGATATTTGTTCGTCTCTTTTTTAGGCAGTCTCATCGAAATTACTTTACCTACATGAAGAACTAGAAGGTCTTCAGATCACTGGTGCGAAGCATAACGGAGTGCGTGACAGGTGAGATTAAGTTTCTATTACTGAATTAGCAATTTCAGTGAGCTTTTATAAATCTCTTAAATTTTCTCGCCAATTTTCAGTTTATTTAGCAAGATTTACTGTCAAGTAAAGGAATATGGGGTCTCGTTGAAAATTATTTTTTTATTTCGGAATTCTTTAGCTAAATTTTTTATTTTTGCTTATATTTCAGCTTAAAAAGGAGGGTAGCTGCTGTCGTCAACGAGCTAAACAGTTTGGAAACAGTAGTAAAGAACTATGAAGAAAGGAAGAAAATTTTAGAAAAAATCGACATCTTGGAGAAGAAGGAACTTTTTCTTGTGAGATTTTTCAAACCACGTTAGTTACTGTTGTGTTATACTTCCGGTACTATGGTCACTGCTTTATCTTGGAACTGATTGTGTCTTGAATTTTAGGATTATGATGCAGTTTCATCTACGTATGAAAAATTAAAGAGGGATTTGAAGGCAAAGAGTGCGGCATTCAAAAAGGTTCAGATTTTTACAAGTTTTTGATGAAGTTGTTAGGTAATTTGTAAAGATCTTACTTTTGCAATACGTTCGTAACAGGCGCAAGTTTATAGAAATATTCCGACCAGGGGAAGTTTTCTAATAATTTTGTTTCGACCTGATTTTTTCTTTCCGTTAACTTACAGGTGGAAGAAGATGTAACTCAGTTAGAAGATGAGTTAGAGGAAAAAAAGAAGCTTGTTTTGAACATTAATTACCAGATCCAGGAATTGGTAATTTCTATTTTTTTTCGTTCGCCATCTTTACAACTTTTGTTCTGTTTAAGTCACCAGGATTACTCTTTCAATATCCTTTAATATTTGTTCCTCTTATAAAAATTTTGGAGACCGACAAGAAATTTCAATTAGAAGAGAAGTTAAACGCAGCATTACGTTCTTCACCAGTAGGTGTTAAAGTAAGTTCTCTTTCCTTTCTACTTTACTAGTTCGTTTCTTTAGAGACCTTGCTAATTTATTTATTTAGTCGCTGTAATTCCTGCTTTCTTCGTCTCATGTAGTGCCTATTAGTTCTTTCAAAACTATTTAGATAAAACAAGCGCGGGATGATTATGAGAGAGTCAAGAAAGAATGTGAAGGTTGGGGACGTAATTTGGATATCATAAAGAAAGAAATTAATTCGATAATGGAAAGACTTAAGACAGCAGAGGAAAACAGTGGCAACGCCTCTGTTAGTTTTAGTTATACAGTATTTTCATCACGTTTTCTTTGTAATCCGTCCGTTGTTAGAGGCTCATGAATTTAGTCTGAGTTGGCATCTGTTCGAAAGAAGTATAAGGCTTTGGAAGCTGAAGAAGAGAAGTTGGAGCTGCAGAAACAGAAGATAGACAGTGTGCAGTCAGAAATTAAACGACATGAGGAAGGTAGCAACATAATTTCATAATACATCAATTAAAATAGAATTTCACGCGTTGGCTACTGATTTCTCCAAGTTTATTCTTCTAAGCTTTAGTATTGGAGGTGTTTAACTGAGATTGGCGCGCACATATTTTTTTGAAAAAGGCATCTATTTGTTGCCACGTGGAAGAATATGTAGTCCCGTCTCATACCATTTTGACCTTTTAATTTATTCCAAAATTTTTTCAAGTTTTGCTATTCTTAGAATTTGGAGCAGGTTTTGGAAAAACGGCTAGGGGGCCTGAGAAAATTGGCATTCCAACAACTTATGCTCGCTCAAAGTCACAGAATCTTCCAGATTTTTTGACGTGTTTTTCTTTTCGAACTTCCGCTCAACTTTTCTAGAATTCGATCGTTCCGTTTATTAGATTCTTTGCGTTTTTTACTTTCAAGGAAATATTACAGCTTTTGGTTTTGTAAAACGGGTTTGAGCATATAACAAAAGCGTGATTTCAAAAACGTTTTAAAAGACTATTTAAATATTGAAAAAGTTTTTTTTTTAGAATATTGCTTTATGATTTGTTACTTAAAGCTTGATGTTGTAGTTTTGGCGGAGGCAAGGTGTTGTGCGCCAGAAAAACAAAACGGGGTTGATAAAAATCTGCATTTTATAGTCATCACGAACAGTGACGGCCATAGTTTTAGCTCAGGTGGAGAAAAAAGATTGTTTGACCTAATTTTTCATAGGAATTAGCTTTCTTGTTCTTCTCTTTTTTATACTTTTTTAAGCATAGAATTACAGTACGAGTTATCTGCAAAAAAATATTATTTTTTGGTATAAAACTACTGTAAAAAGATGGTAAGCAATAAGAAGGAAAAAGTAAGTTTTCAAAAAGGATTAAAAGTTTAAATATGTATATGGCAAATGATTAAATTGATATTGGGAGAGGTGTAATAAGGTAGGAAATATTTGGTACTCTTTTGCTTGACTACTTTCACCAGCCTGCTATTCATTAAAGCTCCCAACCGCCACCTTCTTTCCCTTAATACTTTATTTTTCTCGAATTACTGTTACAAGTTTTTTTTAAGTTGCAAAATTTGCCAGATTGCCGCTTGACAAGCCTATTTTTGAAGGCTTGCAATTTGGCCCGTTCTCAAGGAAATTTAGCGACTTTCAATTCTCGTATTTCTCATGTCCTGAGCTTTCGGAAAAATGTCGAATAATTTATTTCCGATAAAAATACACAAAGATGGAACAAAAATGAAATTTCAAACAAACATGGAAAAAAAAACGCGTCTTTAAATTTTTTAAAAAAGGTATGTTTTGTGTAGAATGTTATGCCCTACGAAATATCAAAATGTGGAGATGGCGATTTTCCAATATCGAGATTTACGAGCCGAAAAGAAGTGTGAAACTGAAAAAAAAACGCATTATTTTTACAGTCCTGTGTATTTTACAGGCGAGACCATTCGGAGCCGTTCCTAAAGGCCACAGCTGGCAGCTGTAAATATCCGGTATGCCTTAAGCGTTTAAAATTTGTTACCAAAATCGTATTTTAATTTAATAACATCAACAAATTATTATTCCGTAGCCTTCACTCTAGCTTCTTCTACTTCTCGTGTTTTATTCTGTCAAAACTACGTAGCTAGTATATATTTTAGTGTCGCAAAGAAGTCTAAAAACTCACTGCTTCACCTGGGTAGTTGTTAGATTGAGGTATTTCTTAAAAACTTCTTTGTTTCTGGAGAACTGCAGTACATAATTTCAAAAAAGAATAGGTTGAGTCCAACGGAAACTTCAACGAGTATAGGACAGAGACATTTCTAAGAGCTCAGAAACCACGACATGCAAGAAGTAGAAGGAGCTGGAGTGAAGGCTACTTCTTATAACTCTGTAGAATAATAATTTGTCAATATTTTTAAAGTGAAGTGCAATTTTGGTAACAAATTTCAAACGTTCAAAGCACGCCAGGCTTTCATAGCAGCTGTCTTCTGCTTTCAGAAGCGGCTAAAGACGGTTTCCATATATAAAATATTTAAGATTACTGTAAAAATAGTGGGTTTTTTTTAAGTTTCACATTCCTTTCTGGCTCGTAACTCTCGGTATTGAATAATCGCCATCTTCAACTTTTGATATTTTGTAGGGCAAAACATTCTGCACGAAATGTATCTTTTTTAAAAAATTTAGAGACACATTTTGTTCTCTGTTCGTTTGAAATTTTGTTTTTGTTGTGTTTTTGTGCGCTTTTCGCAGAATTCAATTATTCAATGTGCGTTTGAAAGTTTAGGGAAAAAATTGTTTAATTTTGTCAAGAACAGGCTAAATTAGAAGTTTTTAAAGATAGGCACTTCAAGCGGCAATCTGGCAAATTTCTCAATTTTATAGAGTTGTAATTTGGCGAGGAATTCACTTTTCCAGGTTTTTTTTTTCGGCTTTCTTTTTACTGGTCTAAATTCTACGAATCAGCAAAAAATGAATCTGAGAGGTCGAGGTTCAAAAGTGTGCGAGTGGCGTCGAATGGCCCATATATATACGTGTACTTTTACTTCTACAGATCGTTCGATGATTGGCAGTATGTGATTTGAAAAGTCATAATCCTGTTCAAAATTGAGATTTTTTGCTTGGGAAAAGGTTATATGAAACGAGGTATATGTTAAGAATGTTCTATGCCGAACAAGGCTGTCAGCTTGCGACTTGTCTTTTGTTAGCAGTACATTTTAGCTTTTTCTGCGTAAGTTTAAGTAGGCGCTAGTATGACTGTGTACTATTTAAATCAAATGCTTTAACATCAACGCTAGTAAGAGTCCACGTTTTTTGATGTTACCAAACTTTTTTCACGTTTTGTCAAACAAGATTGGTTTTTTGAAACCCAGCTTTTGACAGCTGTTTGTCAATACCTTTTCTGTTGATCCAAGTCTGGTCAGAATATTTTCTCTTATTTTTCGAACAGTAGATGGCCCGATGTCAAGGTAGTTGACTTTTTTTTAGCTATTCGTACTATTTGCATTTTTTATGTTTTATGAAGGATTTTGTACTCGGAACAAAGTTAAAAGTTATGACTTTGGTTTCTGCAGCCACTTACGAGATACTTTTATCAGTAGTCTGGTGGAATTGGTTAACGTTCGTAATAATCTTAACAAGAGCGTTGTTTTGTAACTGTTACTGTTATTTGCTTTCCAAAGAATATTTAAGTTTTTGTAGAGTTGAAGGATCAGGCGAGGAGCGAGCGTCAGTTTGAGCTGTATAGGCGAAATGTTTTTACAAATAACAGCTTAAGCAAGAAATTCATGTACTTTGAAGCGTTACGTTGGTATGAAGAGCATAAGTCAGAATTCCAGTACCCAGTTTACGTGCCATTATTATCTGTAAGGATGATGTTTTTGTGAGGTATCTCAGGTTGGTTTTATTTTTGTTTTTCCAACGAGTTGGCAGATTCAAAACTTCCTATTGTGGGGTAGAAGGACTTTATCTTTTTAAGTACTGTTTTTTCTCGTTGTAGGCAAATTGAATTAACGTCCTATGTATTTTAGGCTCTATGCTGAGTGTGAGAAAAAGGTTTGAAATTTAAAAGGTTGGAGGAAGTAAGTTGTATTGGTGCTTCTGTTTACTTATGTAAAAGACATCGCATTTTAAAGGTTTAGAATTAAAATAACTGGTTTTGGAGATAACGGTAGCTACGATGGCGTTAGTATATCAGGTTATATGCTAAAAGGTATTTTCCTCTTGAAGCTTCATTGTTATAGCGGATAGCGGTTTTCAAGTCCTACCTCGGGCAGCGACTTAGTCTGAGTTTGGTGTCTTTGAAAATTGAGAAACACCGTAGTTTGCTCATTCGCTTTCTACAGCGACAAATTATAAGTTATGTGAATCGAAAATACGCAGTTTGACTTGTTCGTCCGAAACAGTTTATCGTAAGAGAAGGTAAAAGATAAAGCTCTTGAATTTGAAGCGCGTTAATGTTGAACGGCCGAATTCATTTAAGAGAGGTTTTTAATATTTTATCTCCTTCCCTGATATTCAGAAAATGCTGTATCTGTGAAGTCAAGGCTTCAGAAAAATTTTTGAATTTAAGGACCGACTCAAGTTTTTATATTAAGTAGAAGTTGTGGTGTTGAAACTTCCGCATTTCTTGATGCTGTAAAAAGTTCGGTTTTTTAATTCGTTGGAAAACAAATGAGACCGACCGTTAACGTTTTCTTATTAAGTTTTTATAATCCGATTGATTTTGTTTTTGAAGATGACTCTTTCAAGCGCAGAAAGCGCAAGATATCTTGAGAACCTCATTGCTTCTCGTGACTATTTGGTGTTTATTTTTGGTTCAAGAGAGGACGAAATGCGCCTAACAAACTCGTCGTTTCCTTGGAAAATCAGTTCCACTGTTCTCACCCAAGAAAAGGTCGCTTTTTGAGCATTTTTTGGTTGTAATTACAAATTTTAGTGAACTTCTCTGTTTGCTTATAAAATTACTTCACTTTTGTTGTGTAGAGCATTGTTTTTCTTCTGACATGCTTACATCGAGTAGGTTCAAAGACAAAATTCGTTTTACAGATTGAGGAAAACAAAGTAGAAAAAGGCTTACCGGATTGGTTGCGTAAATATGGGTTTCATCACATGGTTTCTGACCTGTACGATGCTCCACCCCCAGTTAAAGCATATTTAAACCGGCTGTTCAGTGTAATATTATCTTTTGTCTAATTTTTCTCATCTCTCCTATCTAGCAAATGCATTGACTCTCGTGAAGTTCGCTCATTTTAGCTGAGAAAGATCCCCATTGGCAATGCTGACACCGACCGTCGACTTGAGGAGGTTTGTAAGGCGATAAAAGATCAGTACCGTCTGTTCCTTACGGAAACGTCAAGGGTTTGTTTCTTTGGAAACCTTGTCACTGCTCGGGAGTCTCACAGAAGCTTCTGGGACAGTGGATTGTGGATTATTTACCGCTTTATGAGGGTTCATGGGCTCTCAGAAAACTGTAATCTTGTTTATTATTATGTTTCTGAAGATACTCGTTTTTGTCATTATGGTACCGCGCTGTTAGGTGCAAATTGGTGTTTCAAAGTATAGTGGCGAGACGGTTCTTCGGATTAACAGTTTGAAGAGGGATTCGTCGTGGTTATCTGCCCATGTTCGTCCAAGCAGCCTGATGAGCGAAGCAGATAAGTTACAAAAGAAAAGGAGTCTTGAAAAGGTCATCACTGAGGTAGAAGCTTCAACAAGTCATGCTCTGATATTAGTATATGTGCTTCGTTGTCAGTGATTTGTTGTAGTTTCTATTTCAGGTTAAAGAACTGCAAAAAAATTATAGTATTGAAAAGGGAAAATATGACGTTACAGTTGAAAGTCTCCGACAAAAGATGGTAGGCTTATCTCTAAGTTTTGTTTGTAAAGGTTTTTGTTCAAAGAAGTAACTTAGCACTTGAATCTGCTTTGTGTCTTCTCTTAAAATCAACATTTTTTAGGCAGAGCTGAGGAAACGTGTTGATGCTGTAAACATAATAAACCAACAACTTCGTAGCAAAAAGATAAAGTGCGTTTTGGGTGTCTGTTTATAACGGGCTTTTTCTTCCTTTTAGGATCAGTTTTAAACCTTTGGGAGGAGGAGACTTTAATATATTAAATCTTTATTAGCTATGATTACCTTTTCATTATTTTTCTGAATTTATCGCTTCATACAAAGATCTCCCAGTCAGTCTATATGTAACTAATATTCTTGAAATTGCGGCAAGAATTGATTTCCTTGTCAAGTTATTGCTGTAGTTAAGGCTTGCAACACTAGAGGAGAACAAGCCTAATCTTGAAGAAGCGGAGCGTGCTTTTAACAAAGTGAAGCAAATGGTGTGGAAAGAAGGTTACTCCACGGCTACTGAAATCCTAAAATTATTGGTAATTTTTAATGGATTTATTGTAGCATTATTTTTGTATCATTTCGTTTTAAGAGCGTTTTGCTTCTTTTGCTGCACTGAACTCCACTGGAATTTAGGGCGTCCTGCTGTACTTTTTTCTCGTATTGCCGTTTCACTTTTGCTCCGTGTTTTAACTGCAGTGTGAACTCAACTTATCTTACCTTGAAAACAATCTTTATAATTATAAAGATTATAAAGATTGTTTATAATCTTTATAAACAATCTTTATAAACAATCTTTATAATCTTTATAATAACTTTACTGAGTCCAAATAAGATTAATTCTTAAATCCAGCAATTAAAATCGAGGTCGCGTAATTTCGTGGCTTGATGAGGCATTTTAATTTCTGAGGACTGTAGAGGCTGCCAATACTGGTCGCTTGGGAAGACTATGGTATTACTAAAATGGTTTTTTAAGTAAATTATTGTAGGTACAAAGTTAAATTTTAGAACCTCGGGACCAGATTCTCCTCTTTTGTCACAATTTTATGCACTTAACTTCCAAATTTCTTATACTGTGAATTCTTAGTAAGTATGATTTTGCGAGAAAAATGCCGGTTTACTCAAAGAAATATTTCTGATTTTTGTGCACTTTTTGGCCCTTCCTCTGTTTTTTCTGTGTTTCATATGTAGTTGTGAATGCTGTTCCTTCCTGTAGATTTTTATTCGTACTCGACTAAGATGTCTTTCCTATCCGAACTAACTCATTTTTCCGTATTTTCAGACTGGGGCTGGTGAGTTGATGGAGAATATAATATTAAAAAAACTAAAGTTGTCCATCGTTAGTGGCTTGGTAAATAAATTAGTTGGAGAGTTGACGAAGTCAAGAGCAAACCATGCGCAGAAAAAGGTATTTTCTGCTAAAGCTATTGGCGTCTGTGTATATGTGGTACATTTATATATATGTATAGTATTAGAAACTTGATTTTCGTATTCCTGCAGTTTTCTAAGGAACATGCAGGTCATTTCATAATTGTCTAGTGGTTATGGCGACATTTAGGCCGATCTTGAGGAATTCCGAGAGACAGTTGATGCCAAGAGAAGACTGCGCTTAGAAAGCAGTGAAAGGCTGAAAGCAAGTACAGGACTGACAAGCACAGATTCGAATAAGCTTGTAGATACTGCAAGGGAAACTTTAGAAAAACTACAGACGGTACGGCATTGCAAATTTTGGGTCTTTATTGTTTTTACAGTAAGGGTGGATCAATATTTAGAAATTTGAGTCTATCGCTGCTCCAGATGACATAGAAACATTACGGAGTGTGTTAAACTCTGAGAGGGCTCGCTTAGTTGTGATGCAAGATGAAGGCGGCAGAACGGTGATTTTTTGTCTTTTTTTTTATTTTAATAATTCTGCATTTGCGACAGACTCGTTGTGTGATTAGTAATATGCAGAGTTATATGAATGGTAGATTTTTTTTGGTAAATCAAGGAAAGATCTTTGTTACAACGAAGGGATTAGGAAGAGCTTTTTTCTTTTAAAATGAACCCTTGCTTTTTCACAAAGTTTATTGCCGGAAATCATTATTCGTTTTTAGGCTCTCGATCGGTATCAACAACTTCTAGAAACTCACCAGAACTTGAAAAAACATTTGGAAGGTTCTTCAGGGCAGGTTTATGAGTTTTTTTAGAATATTATTGAGAATTTCTAAACTGCCCCCTTTGTCCAATTTCTGTTGGTCTTCTTTCCTGTTTCTGTTCGCTTCTTACTTTTCTTTCAATGGTCACAGACGTTCTTATGCTGTAATCCACATAATTCTCATGTTGTCCACAGATGGAGTACCAGCAAACAAGTTCCATTTTTTCCCCTGTAGTAATTTGTTGTTCACCATTTCGTGTTGTAAATCATGCAGTGTCATTGGGAACACTCAAAAATTAGAAC